ACCAGGCTCCCTGCAGAGCCAGCGCAGGCAACCTGGCTGCCCTGGCCGCCGCACGCCCCTGGCATCTCCGGCTGCCAGGACTCGGCCCTGTTCCGTGTTCCGGGGACAGTCACACTGGCTGCTGCCAGGGGTGGGGGACCGCAGGCAAACCATCCTATCGAGAAGTTTCAGCGGATAGAGGAGAAGCCAGGATGTGGGAGCCGAGAAAATGATGATACTTGGCTTTCCTACTCTTCCTAGGCTGTATTAATTGAAGTGTTCGAAAGAGAGGAGTTACTCATTCAGCGAGAACCCGTAAATTCTTCAGCCGCTCGGGCAAGCCTTGCTCAGCAGCGAAGGAACGGGTTTGGGAAGGTCTTGGGCTCTCTGGCGTGAACTGGTGCCCCACCATCTTCCAGCTGTTCAGAGCCTGCCTGTCTGTGCCCACGAATGATTAAAAAAAGAAGGAACGGGTGATCCCGGGGATTTCCCACGGGGTTTTCAACATTCCAGCCAAGAGAGAATGCTGGGGATTTTCCAGATCAAAGAGCAAATTTGGATCAAGTCTCTGCTATCACCGCTGACTTTAATGCCATGGTAGAAGTCAACAAGGGGACACCTTCAAAGTCCTTAATTGCAGAAGATTTGTAGCCATTTGTGGCAGAGCTGACCCAACAGATGACTATCCCGTGTGTGGAAGATCGCAAGCGGAAAGCACCGCAGGGCTCACTCTAGAACCACTCAGGATAGGTGACTGAGATCTTCATGGGGGTTAGATCTGGAGCTGTATAGGTAGCTGAAGATATGCCTTCTGTTCTGAACTAGTCACACTGTGCAAAACATCGACATCCATTATAGGCAGTCACATAGCTTTTCCTGTTTGTTTTGCATGGACTTGCCATGCCTGGGATGTGTGAATGTTTCCCATAGAAGTCCCTAGAAAAGCAGCTTAATTTAAGAATGAACTGCGCCAGCAGTCTGCAGGAAGGAGCCCAAAGTCCATCGAGACTCTTTTCCTCCATGTGTTCCACTACGGGGAGCTTCTCTGGATGCTGGACAGTCTGCCTCAAAGAGTGCTGGCCTGTCCCCGTCCCCCCCCCCTCCCCGGGGTCGCCTCCCCTGCCCGGGGCCGCGGTGGGACTCGGCTTTTTGTTATTTTCGCGGAGCAGATATTAATTAAAAGAAATACATGATTAAAAAAAAATGAGTTGAATAAAAATTATCTCCGCTCATTTTCTGATTATGTTAATTGTTAAAAACCCTTCAATCACGCCGTTGCAGTCAATGGGTTTTAATGTGAAATTAGTGGGCTCTTGATAACTTACAGTCCAGAATAATCCTGGAGGTTTAGTCATCATTCCTAATAACGAGATGTTACTGAGAACGGAGATTTTACATGATTTTGCCACATTCAGCCCTTCCCCCACGGAAGGGTCTGCCTTTGTGGCACACAACTTCAATTTTCACGCCTACGGCTACTTTGTTAGTCTTACCCTGTACACCGCTCCCTTAGACGCCAATTATATATTTTCTGTGTCTGCGTGTCGTCTGAATATAAAAAAAACCTGCCTGAATATTTAAAAAATACATAGTATCCGATAGAAGGATAGAAAAACAGTTTTGTCCCTCGTGGATTTTATTTTTCGCGTCCAACTCATCTTGAATCTCGCGACGGTTTCTCTGCTCTGACTAATTATCTCCCTAAGAGATAAGCACAGGTTCATACTGAAAGTGTTCAAAGTAATTAAACTGTGAGGGGGGGAGAAAAAAATGTATATTTGCTGGAGGAGCTGGTACGCCACGGACAGGCTGAAGGACTTACGGGGGGAAAATAAAAGGGGAGAGTTTCTCCGATGGGTGATCACCAAGAGCTGGAGGATTTAAATAACTTCAGCCTCGCGGTTTGGAAGCGCTGTGAAATTCCCTCTGCCAGAGGGACCAAGCGGTGGCCCCCAGAGCACTCTCACTTCAGGCAGCGCGTTTCTTCCCTGGAAATTCGTTGCAGAGAGGTTTCATTGTCACGCAGAAAACTAAACGCATCCTTTTCCGTTTTCCAGCCTCGAAAATTTGCGTCTAAACCCCGCTCCTCGCACCCACCTCACCGCTTAGCCAAAATCTCGACCGCTGACGGCTGGAGGGAGCGGGGG